GTTGTTGCTAGTTGTTTGAAGATGTGCCATTCTCACTGGGGTGAGGTGGTATCTCATTGTGGTTTTAATTTGCATCTCTATGCTTGGGAGCTTTTAAGAAATTCAGAATCTGAGGCTTGACCCCTTACTTAATCAGGAATTTCGTTTTAATAAGATTCCAAGAAGATACACGGAGTGTGCATTGAAGTGTAAGAAACACTAGTCTAAAGACTATTTTGCATTCAAAAAGTATTTACTGGGCCTCCCTGGTGACCTAGGGGTTAAATCTCAACACTATCACCTCTATAGCCTGAGTTCAATTCCTGGCCAGGGAGATAATCTACATATGGCCCCGCAGACTTCACCTCTGCTCACCTGTGCTCCCAGTTGGGCTCTGGTGAATCCCCTCACCTTACCTGCATCTCTGGCCTACACCTTCAATGCAAAAAAAAAAAAAAATCTTCTGAGAAAAATGAACTTTACCTTCAAACAATTTTACAATTTCCTCAACTTTCTAATTCTTTCCTTATTATTCTGGATAATTGAAAATTATTCTACTCTTTACTTATGGGCAATTACTACTGACCTATTACTCTTTCTAAAGACCTCACTACTCTGAGAAAAGGCAGCTATGTGGATAAGTCTTTCATGGGGCAATTATTAAAACCCAGACAACAGAGAGGAAGGTAGCTTTAACAGTTAGATAGCACTTTCCAGACTGAAGACATATAACAGCAAGAGATTTAAAATGGGTAACAATTCTGGGGTTAAAAGTGGAAAATATGGACTAGAATATCAGTCTTGAAGACTGGACCTACACTTTAAAGTGTCAGAGAAGACTGAAGTAGAAAAATCAAAGCAGAGGCTTATGGTTACCAGTGGGGGAAAGGACCGTGAACTTGTAAGACAATGTATAGATCATGAGCATTTATGAAATCTGTAATCCTTATTAAATAATCATGGCCTGCAGAAAAAAAATAATATACCATGGTACATGGAAAGCAAATTTCTAGGTAATATTGAAATTATCTTGTAAATAATCTTGCTATGCTAAGAAGTAATTTTAAGCTTATATAATATTCATGTCACATATGATAATTCCTTTTTGATTACTGCACTTTACTTAATCCTTTACATTTCTAAAATGTTCAAACTATTGACTGTTACAGTTCCTTAAACTTCTTAAATTTTTCTTTCAGGTGAATATACTGTAATGACAGCGCATTTCCACTTGAAAAGAAAAATTGGGTATTTTGTGATTCAGACATATCTGCCTTGTATCATGACTGTCATTCTTTCCCAAGTGTCATTCTGGCTTAACAGAGAGTCTGTGCCTGCAAGAACGGTGTTTGGTGAGTGAATAATTATACACTGTGATGCGCAGCACTTTATGTCCCATGCCAAATTTTCCACAGCACTCTCTCTTGATGCTATACCAGTAACATGTGGTGAATGTAGCAAGAAGTGTTGTTTTCTCCTTGTAAATGAGAAAACTGAGGCTCAGAAAGGTAAAATGCACTGACAATACTACAGTCTTAATATGGGCCATAAACAGTATGCAGATTTCCTAGCAATACATTCCAACTTCTTTCTGCTAAATCATTTTGCTTTTCAGTCTGAGAGGCTTTCTATTAAGGTATACAGTGTAATACTTCTAAGCTTTCTAGTTCTATTTTTATTTTGTTTCTAGACAAGAAAAATAGATGACTGTGTGTGAGAGAGAGAAGAGAAAGGAGGGAGAGAGTGAGAATGTATATGACCCCACATTCACTCCCATTAGTATATTTAACAACAAAGTTGATTTTCTAATAGAGGGTAGGGGAAAAATAAATATTAGAGAGTATAGAAAAATAGAGAATTAACAAGATTAAAGTTGGTTGTTTGAAAAGATCAACAAAACTGATACGCCTTTAGCAAATCTAAGAAATGGAGAATTTATATAAATATAAAATCACTAACTTGAAAAAATATATATACCCCATGTTTAGTACAATAACCAAGTTATAGAAACAACTTAAATGCATACCAGTAGAACATTGGCTGTAGAAAATATGTTAAATACATACACATAGTTATATATACATACATATACACACATAATTGTGTATTTTTAGTCTTAAAATCAGTTTTTGTGTGTAAAAAATGAGATTTTATATATATGTATACATAATGAGATCCTTGTTTAATAAAACTATATATATAATGAGGAATTTTAATAAAGATTATGAGGAAAATACAATAGTGCACTGAAGAGAACAGGTATTTTATATTATTAATCATGCAAATGCTTATATTAGAAGAAAACAACAGAAGATTCCAAGACATAAAAGAGAAATAAATAAATGAAAATAATGATCTTGAATAAGCAGCATATGTTAGTGTTATACAGTTTTACCTATTGATAGGCTCAGTTATGACAAATGTAGTATTTAAAAATTGGTGACAAACAATATATATGTATATATAATTTACAATACAGGTTATATATGCATTGGTAAATTTTTTATGAGTTATTTGAAATGTAAGTTCAAAGACAGAAAGGTCATATTTTTATATAAATTTACACTTCTAAGAATGGTAAAATCATTCTTGACATTATCTCTAAGAGATATTCTGTGTAAAGCTTGCAGTATAATTCTTTTCATGTGTTCAATGTCTGTGTTTGTGTGTATCCACTAACCAAAGTTCTTGTGTCCTGACTGAAATGGTATTTGAAAGCTCCCCAGTTTCATTATTCTACACCCTTATTCCATCTTTTGTTGTTATCTGTCTCATTTTGAACGTCACCATCTGACGAATACTCAGCAGTTCCCTAAGCAGTGATTCAACCCCACTAACTTTCTCTGAATTCACGATCAGGTTTCCAAGCTAGTGAGAGAAACCCTCTAAGCTTTCTGTGGTGGGTAACTCACCCCAGTAAAAGAATTACTATACTTAAAAAATTAATGTGCCCTGAGTAATATATGTCAATTTCTCAACCTCTGTTGTCTGGCTTTATAACTGGAAATACAATAAAGAAGCAGAGCAAAAAAGGATAATAGGTAGAGGAGTGTACACCCCTCATGTCAGACTTTGCTCCATTGTGTTGGGTTTATCTAATCATTTTTTTGTATGTGGCATTTATTTTGTGGTTGTAGATTGAGTTTGATATTTTCCAAAGCTGTTTCTTCAAAGCGAATGCCAGTGCACCCTATGATGATAAAAGTCTCCTTTGATTTTCTCTGAGTGTCCATGTCCAATTCATTCAACACCAACAAATGCCAACTGGGCACCTACTTATAAGCATTGATGTGGATTTTTAGGACACAACCGTGAACTAAAACCAAGTCAAACATGCCTTGGCTTACTTCAGGAGTTGGGAGCTCCCTCCATGATGAGGGAGATGCTCTGTTTTGCTAATAGTAAAAAGAAAGCAGTTGGCAAACTTTTTTTTTTTAATTTATTTATTTATTCATACAGAACTGGGGTACAGGCCAGAGATCAAGAGGGTAAGAGAGCCATTAGAGACAGAGTGGGGAGCAGAACAGGCAGACAGTCAAAGTACACTGCTGAGGGGAGCAGCGGGCAGCTCAGGAGAGGTCTGCCACGCCATGTGGTCACCCTCTGGGGCAGGCAGGGATAGAACTCATGAGGAAGTGGCTTTAGTTTCTTAGTGCATATTCTAAGGACTCTGCATGCAATATAAAATATTTGAAATCCCTGTACAAACCTATTTAACCCGCTGCACCACCAGGGAGGGCCGCAGTTGGCAAACTTTTAACCTTATACCTCAGGTTTTTGTGCTTTTAAGTCCCCTGTTAGTAGACAATGAACTCACAATATAAAAACCTCATTTGGTGCTTGTATTTTGTTTTGTGACATTCATGGTTTCTGGTTGCTTAATGTTATCCAGAATTTCAATTCAATAAGAATTAATTATAAAGAATGTGCCAATTTTGTCTCTACGTAAAGCCGAATGACTCTGCACTTATGGATGTTTATATATGAATATGTGACTATGTTTATATATGAACATAAGGATATATGAGTGGGTTTTTAAGTTTATATGTACAAAATATGTCCTGACATTTTTGTCTTAATCTTATATTCAATATGAAATGAGTTTTCCACAAAATAAAACTAAATCAAATAAAACATCTTTTTGGGTGTAGGTTTGTACAGGGATTTCAAATATTTTATATTGCATGCAGAGTCCTTAGAATATGCAAACATCTTAGTTGTTTGTCTTACATATATATCAGAATAATTAGATACGTAGAATGATATGTTTGTGTTTGCACAGTTTTCTTAATTCAATAGATTTTCATGATTCAATTTGATTGTTTACACCAGAGGACCCACAATATAGTGGTTTGAAAATACGAGATAGCTTTTCTATAATATGTGAAGTAAGTCCATGAGTAGGTGGTCCAAGACCAAGGCAGCATCAAGGGTATCTGTCACTTTTTATATTGTGTATTTAATATTCTTAGCGTGGAGTTTTGCTTCATAGACCAAAAAAAAAATTATGTTTGGCCCTCCAAACTTAATATTCATACTCTAAGGAACAGGAAGGAAGAAGTGGAAAAACCAAAAGGTCTTTTGGTATGTCACTAATATATACTTTCCTAGAAGTCTTTCCAATGATATATTTGTATATCATTAATCAAACTTGGTTTCATCATTGGCGAGTCTGAGAAACAGACATCCTGTCTGAATAAGTTAGTGGTCTAACATTATGGATTGGCTAAATATTGGATTCATTGATTCTGCTATAATTGATTTCTGCTATAGTAAAAAAAAATAGTTGTTTGCTCTGAAGTAATAAAATGATTCAGAGCACATAATCTGAAGGGAGAGTATGTTGGCTCAAAGGTTGGCTATATTACTATCAAACTAGAGGACTTTTGGTAAGTTTTAACCTCTGTACCTCATAATACTATTAGTCATGAGGTAGTGTAGGGAATTAATAAAAACTCATGCTGACACATACACAAACACACAAATACATTCATACATACATGACACATTTAAAAAAATTCTGGGCAGATAGTAAATACTATGGTGTTTAAGTCCTACCATTATTACTATTATATATATATATAAATATATATATACACACATATTTACATATATATGTATATAATCTTTTCCTTCATGTTGAGAAATATGTAAAGGGTGGTCAGCTCTTATATTAGTCTTAATAGCAATAATTATTTACAGAGATGGTATAGTTCAGGAATTATGAACTCTGTATATCTCAAGGGAAGACAGATCTGGGCAGGAATCAAGCTTCTTTGCCATTATCTCATCAGTATAGAGTTTGTGTGAAGGGAATATCAAAGATTTTGTATTACCTTGTTTAAGTGAAGTTTAGGTTTAGTTAAAGATACTTCAGTTGTAGTGAAGTAAAACCCAAGTCCAACTAGCTTGTATGTCTTTGTTAATTTCACTTTAATTAATAAATCATGAGCTTATATAGATCTCCAGGAGAAGCACTGTATTAGACATACATCTCATTTCAAGCCCCACTATTGGGTCATACTGGTTAGGCATGGGTCACATTCTCATTGCTGCTGTATAATTGTCATGGACAGATCCACACTGATTAACATGACATGTAAACAGGTACATTCCTTAGCAAGTGGCAATTGTCAAATCAATTTTGAAATTGGAATAGTTTCTAAATGAAGGAGAATTGGGAACAATTTTTAGAAGGAAGCAGTTCTTCACATCTGTATTGTCCTTTCTTTGAATCCCAAATATATCTCACTTAGTTCTGTGATGATGACCTGGATTCGTATGTCAATGAGAAAAGTGAAGCAATCAAGGAATGTTCCTAGAATCCCACAGCCTCTTTTGCCCACAAGCTCCCCCTCAACTATGTTTCTAAATAATGACAGCCCTTCCACCTGTGCATTGTAACATGATCCTTTCACCTCCTGAAGGACTTGATTTCAACAATTCTAACTTGTGTCTCTAGTTAAATGTCAATCATCCCCAAAAGAAAAAGATAGTGTTACTTTCCCAGTCCTCAAATCAGATTGTCTTGACTCCAACTCCTTAGTCCGCCACCTCATTTCTTTGCTTTTCCTCACAAGCAATTTATTTATTTCACAATACTTGGCCCCCACCTTTCCCCTTCCTATGGTCTTTCCAGTTGACTTTAATTAAACTTGTGTCTCCATCACACTACCAGAACCACTCCTGTAAAGGTCTTCCACATTGTTAAATCCACTCACAAATTCTCACATAAAATGACTTGACCTGGCTGAGCATCCTTTGACAGAGTGCATCTTCTTACTCAGTGGGGAATTTTATCTTGAAATTAATTTCTTTATTTGGTTGTTAATAGCTACATTTTCTTGATTTG